TTTGCGATTGAAAGATGGTTTGTGGTAAGAACTGGCTTTCTTTATGTTACAGCCTTGATACTAAAAAAAATAAATAAACAATGTAAAATGGCACCCTGTATTGAATGTAAACGTTGTATAAATGGAAATAAACAATTCTCCAGCGATTTAATTTTTTCCCCTTCCTTTCTTTAGTCCACTTGACATGGAGCCACAGTTAACTAGTTTGGGTAAATTTTCACTTAAAAAATAGTATTTAAACTGATCAAGCTTTGGCTTTACAATGACACTGTAAGTTGCTAAACATTACGTTGCTCTATTTAAAAGTAACAAGATAAAAGCACTTCAGCACATACAATTAAGATTGTCACTTGCCAAATAGACTACACCCTCCCGTTTACCTATAAGAAACGCCTCAAAATATCTTTAAATTCTTTATTGATGATTTAATTGTAGACAACTAAAATGGCATTTTACTTGCCAAAAAGTGATTGAATCGCTAAGATTTTCATGGAGGCTAAATTGACCAAATAAGGGTTTTATGTATTATCTGTTGATGTTACTGTACTCATACTGTCTACTGTATACTCAAAAACACCCCAAAAATGGCAAAAAAAAAAAAAAAAAAGAAAATAAAAGATAATTTCCCTTGCCAAAAATTGATTACAGTGTCCTGGTCACCTGTAAAGAGTTACATTTACCTAAATATTACCTTATTTATTATCTCTTGATGTTATTAGTGCCATCACAGGATGCTGGGTCTCTTCATAAACACCTCAAAAATGGCAACAAATGATCATTTCCCTTGCTAAAAATTCATTACAGTGTCCTGGTCACATGTAAAGGGTTAAATTTACCTAAAAATTACTTTATTTATTATCTCTTGATGTTATTAGTGCCATCACAGGATTCTGGGTGTCTTCCACAGTCATAAACACCTCAAAAATGGCAACAAATGATCATTTCCCTTGCCAAAAATTGATCACAGTGTCCTGGTCACCCATAAAGGCTTAAATTGGCATAAATATTACTTCATTTATTATGATGCTGGGTGTGTTCCACAATCATATTCGAATAAACATGAAAATATTCCGTCCGAATATCTGTTTCTTGTTATAAATATAACAGCTAGAAGGATTTACAGTTAAAATAGGAGAAACATTTCAGGAAACTATTGTCAATTAACCACAGAAATAGGGACTAATAACATCAAGAGATAATAAATAAGGTAATATTTAGGTAAATTTAACCCTTTACACGTGACTCCCCAGGAAGGGTCGTAACACCACTTGCCTCATGCACATAAGTGACCAAAACAAAGCAGCATGGAGACACTCCGTCTCCAACCACCTCTCAGGCAGCAGCCTGCACTCCCAAGTTCTACACGTCACCAGAACATAAACAACCACAACACAATAAAAGCAGTGTTATACAAAATGGAAGGCCTGTAGTGTTTATTCTCTTACAGTAACAACTTATCAATTTTTTGGAGGAATTTATTTGAGATTTTTTGGTTTTTATTAATTGTGCAATAGAAAAATAATCATCAGATTAATTGTCTAAATAGTCATTAGAATAGTTGACTATTCGATAAAATAATCGTCAGAATAATCATTTTAAAAATAATAATTTACCCCCAACCCTACTTTTTTAGAATACCAGGATAGGAAGGATGGTGTAGGTTTACTTTTATTAGATTGATACATAAATATTACCAATAAGAAAGTGTACGTTGGTGTGTGTCAGAAACAGCGTAAGGCTTAATGCCTTTTCCAAAAAAACCAGGTGATGGGCCGGTCTCCAATCAAAATGCCCGGGCTGAATTTTTGTCCCAGTCCAGCCCTGGTCCCCAGCAAAAACAAACTTTACGAGTCTGATGAAACTTGCTGGTGTTCCTTCAGCAGGCCTGGTGGCAGCTCCAACGACCCAGTGGCTGTGCTTGGTCAATGTTATCGAGCTCAGTCCGGCTCAGCCGTGAACGAGCCGAGGCGACATCCTGCTCTGCTTAAGAAGAAGTGTTATTTTCCCGCTTCAGAAGAAGCGTCCGTGTTTTTACGCTTTCTCAGAGACATGTCACGTCGCTAAGTTGTTAGCGCTGCGCGCTAACATGTCAATAGTGCAGCGTAGCCTGCTGGAGGTTTTAAGGGTTCAGATGAAAACACCTTTACCCTTTTACCCATCGAAATATGCCCTATTAATTATTTTACCATATTTTACATTTAAATTTCATGGTTAAACAGTACATGCTACATGTTAAACTGATGGTTAGCTAGCTACTTCGGTAAACAGCTAGTTTAAAGGCGGCAGTGACATAAAATACAAATATAGATTTTAACTTACCGAAAAAAATGAAGTGGAGACTCCTTGGACGCTCTATTAGTGCAATTAATACACAGCAAGTCATTTTGTCCAACAATTGCACCAATAATATCCAAAACAGAATTCACAAGCTCAGAGACTCAAAATCCCGACACAGTTTCCAGGAGGGACCGAGGCTGTACTGAGGCCTTTCCACAGAGCTAGCTCTGTGGTCACGTGGGTCTGAGGCGGCGGTCACGTGGGTCGGATGCTCATTAATTACACAGAATTTTAGGCTTTCAATACACTTAAACAGAAGAGTGAGAAAAAAATTCACCCCCCTCAGAGTTGTCATGAGTATAAACTAGATCATTTAGACAAAAAACATGTTCTGGTACCACGCTGTAAACATGTTTATTTCTGCTGTGAAATTGGCATTTTTAACATGGGAGTCAATGAGGATTTGCTCGCTTCTGGCACCAGCCCCCAGCGGATGAGGGTGGAACTGCAATTTCTCTTACTTCCGGGATGGGACCATTTTTAGAGCCGCATTGTGGGGGCTTGGTATTAGCCCAACATCAGGTCAGACATTTATTATTCTTATCAGGATTCACTGGGTTTGATCACGTCAGGATTAAACAGCTGCTAAATCCGTATTCTAGATGATAAGATCACCTGTTCATCACCACTTCACACCCCTACCACCTTTTTTTTTAGTTCTTTCTTCTTTTTTAACCTGTATCTGTATTTTCCTTTCCTCTTTACCTGCTTCTGCACCTTTACACCTTTATGGCACAACCACACAACTTTCCAACACTGCGTCAGACGCGACACACACACACACACACACACACACACACACACACACACACACAGAGATATATTAAATTCACAGCGCAATATCATAATTTATGCGTCAAATAATACAACCACAAACACTGTTGGATCTTTATTATTATTATTTACTTTTCTGTTATTTCTTAACATACTATTTTATACATTTAGATACTTATTCCATCTTATTCACATGAAGGCGTCATATTTTAGCTACTCACACACATCTATGGGTGCACTAAGATTTGTCTCATGGAACGTACATGGAGCTGGCTCTATAGAGAAAAGATTAAATATTTTTGATCAGCTAAAGAGAGTGCAAGCAGACGTAATATTGCTACAAGAGACTCATAGATCTGCCACATCCGCAGATGAACTTAAAACACCTGAGTTTCCCAGCATGTTCTCTGCCTGCTATCAGAGGTGGAAAGAGTACTAAAATGTTGTACTTAAAGAGCAAGTAACGTCTAAATTAACTTTTTTTTTGCTGATGAACTGTATAAATGAGTGTCTAATAGTGTTTTAAATGTGTGTATTCATTATTTTAGCATTTTGGTGCATTTTCTTTAAAAATTAAATATTCAGCCTAAAAACCACAGTAATGCGCCACCTTCAGCTTAAAACACAGAATTTGACACATTTTGAATAAATTTTAGCCAATGGCTAAAGAGTAAGATACTACGTAAACCAGTAGAGTACTACGTAGCAGCTCTTGTGCCAAAGTTATAAAGCAATGAGAGTCTCGGCCACGCCTTGTGGCGAGTTGGGAGTTGGATTTGCAAGTGATTGTCGGACGGTTAGCGGTAGTTCAGCATTAGCATATATCATTAGCATATTCTAGTCTTTAGCATAGCTTTTAGTGTTATAAATACTTATTTAGTGTTAGCTTGGCTGTTAGATATTGTAGTTTAGTTAGTGTTTGGCTTTTAGTGTTACTAGGAAAGTAGTTCGGGTTTAGTGCTCTATATAGTGTTAGTACTTATTTAGTGTCAGCTTGGCTGTTAGATATTGTAGTTTAGTTAGTGTTTAGCTGTTAGTTTTATTAGGAAAATAATTTGGGTTTAGTGTTCCATATAGTGTTAGTATGGTTAAAAGGTGTAGTGTAGTTGGTTGTGGTAGCTCTGTGGGGTTGCACTCCTTTCCACTGGACTTAGAAATTAGGCGCCAGTGGTTGCGCGCAATCGGTGTACTGGAAAACAGTCAGCTCCCGCCTGGTGCTGTAGTCTGCAACCAGCATTTTACCCGCGATTCCTTCGCCAACATGATGGAGTTTGAACTGGGTTATTCTGCACGTCTCCATTTGAAGAGTGAGGCCGTGCCCACCGTGGCTCTTCCACGAATTAGATGCAGCCCACCGACTCTGCTCCCCCACCATGGCGGGCTCCAGTCTGAGGTGAGTAAGCTAAATAAACGTTTTAACATCTTCTAAAGACAATTCCCTACCTAAATGCAAAGTTTGAGAGACGTGGTTCACTCCATTTAGCTAATATCAGCCTGCACTGCCTTCGGGCTAAATTGTCAAGTTCACAAAATGTGGAACGGGATGTAAGGTTAGAATCAGCGGCGAATCGGAACATTTCTCGAAGCCCTGGCCGACAAAAAGGTCCACATGACTATTTCTGTCAGGCTCGGAGAAAATCCGGGTTGTTTTTGTGTCAGTCGGTAATTCAGCAACAGTGGCTCTAACGCAGCACTAGTTGACAGACATCATTACAGCGTGAAATCCAGCTTTACACCAAAGCCTAACCCGGTTCTGTGAGGAATTCTGTTCAGGAGGTCGCATTTCAGGTTCTTCACATCATATGTGACTGACTTTTACGTTATAATAACGATCACACACTAGGAATGTCATAAAGCGCCTATATATATATATATATATATATATATATATATATATATATATATATATATATATATATATATATTTCGGACAGTTTCTTTTGTATATTATCTGACTTTATAAACAACAACAACAATGTGCTTCTATTTTTTTTTTCAGGCTAAATCTACCCAAGACGTTGGCTGTCAGACTGATTTAGTAATCTGCAAAAATGCACTTGTCCAGGCTCATGTAAAGCCTTATCGACGTAGCAAAGGTGAATTATTTTTAATAATCTTCTATGTAAACATTTTATTATTACCTTCTAGTTTTAATTTGTTTTACAGATTATTGTTACATGTGATTTTATGCTCTTTTAAACATTTATAAATGTGCTGCTTCTTTGTATTTTACATAGCCACACAGTTTAGAGCTCCCAGCCGCAGTGTGTCTTGTGACACAGGGACCGTGACGGAAATTCATCTTCCACAAAGTCCAGAGCTGCGTCCACACCCCTGAAAAGACCACGATATGAGGTGTCTGTTGTTGATCCCAGCTTCCACCTCAATGACAGTGCAAGCTCAGTGAACTGTTCAAGGTAAAAAAAAACTATAACATTTTAGAATTTTTTAGATATGACCATATATATAAATGTATGTGTTCTATACAGCTCTTTCACTGAGGTCCATCCACAAAAGGACAAGAAGTACATTGTTCATGAGAAACAGTTGCTGGGGCTGTTCAGAAGGTGTCCCGTTTGTACCGGTCGTTGTGTTGTGAACACGACAACAGTCAGCACACTGCTCCGTGTGACACAACGGTGTTCATGCTGTGAGCACTACAATGAGTGGTCCAGTCAGCCCATGGTGAACAGCATCCCAGCAGGAAACCTCCAGCTCTGTGCTGCTGTCCTTTTCACAGGCTCATCATTTAGCCAGATTTCTAAGGTATAGGCCAAAACTGTTTAGGTTGGTTTTGATAAGGTCTGTGCGTCTCTCATTTCATGACGTAATTTTTCATATTTTAGTTCCTGGGTGCCTTCAATGTGCAGGGACTGTCCAAGCAGACATTCTTTCGACATCAGGCAAAGCTAATTCCAACAGTGAGCTGGCAGTGGCAGCTAGAGCAAGCTGATATCATCCAGGAGGCTACTGAATCTGGACCTGTGACTCTTGGTGGTGACATGCGAGCTGATTCACCTGGTGAATACTTTTAAATTTATTTATTTTATTCCTTTGCTATCAAATGTAAATTAAGTAATAACTTGCATTTCTTGAAGGACACTCAGCCATATATGGCAGCTACACCATGATGGATCTCAAAAGAAACAAAGTTATTGATATCCAACTTGTACAGGTACAACATTACCTGATGATTCCAATGCATTTCATGGTTAATTATTCACAGATCAATGGAGAATTATGTTTATTTTCAGAGCAATGAAGTTGGAAATAGTGTGCGAATGGAGAAGGAGGGATTTGTGAGAAGTCTGAGCACACTTTTGGAGAGGGGGGTCGATGTGCAGCAAGTCGTGACTGACCGCCACACAGGAGTGCAGAAGTATTTGCGGGAGGAAAAAAAGGAAATCAGTCACTACTTTGACCCCTGGCACATGGGAAAAGGTAATCTTTGGGGATGTATATAGTGAATATTACAGGATTTTTTTTTCTATTTTAAATGTGGGTCTGTTTGGCTCTCCAGGAATTGGTAAGAAAATCGAAGAGCTGGGGAAGAGAAAGACGACCCAGGATGTGAGACTGTGGAAGCAAAGTGTGGTGAACCACCTCTACTGGTCGGCATCCAGTTCCTCCTCAGGACAGGAGGCAGTAGCAAAGTGGACTTCAGTTGCCAACCACATCCAAAATGTGCACAGCCATGACAACGCCCTGTTCCCTAGCTGTCTGCATGCACCTCTGGATGGAGAACAGGCAAGACAGTGGCTCAAACCAAGTAAGTGTAGCATGTACTCATTACAGCTGAGCCTTTAATGTTTGGTTTCTTTACATTTAGAACACGTCACCCCACAACAGAATATTTGTCTTCACCTCCTTCAACATGGAGAAATATTTTTTGAGCATGTGAGTAACAGACATCACATGTAGCTGCTAAGGTCACACACCACCATTTGGCCAACAGCAATTAATTACTAAGAATAAAATGCTGTGCAGAAATTTAACCACAAGAGTGCACCACACAACTCATGGTTTTAGGCAGAACAGCCATAATTGACATAATATGTACTAAGATGCCGTAAGTAATGACCACACCTGTCTACAGCACTATTAGTCACTCTTTCATACATTTGTCATCTAAAAATGTCAGCTATGGGTAACTTTTTCTCAATGAAATAATAGCAACATTCTAAAGTTGATCAAATTGTAATTTTTGTAATTAACATTTTCTACGTAGGCACAGCATCATGTGAGAAGCTCACTGCCATTCTGTTAGCTCCACGGTTTGTGAAGGACGTAGAGAAGATAAGCCCTGTGTACCACACATCCACCTTGGAGGCTTTCCACAGCCTCATCATCAGATTTACTCCAAAAAGTCAGGTCTTCTCCTTCAAAGGAATGCTGTCTAGGTAATGAATACAACAAATGTTCAAATTAATGCCTCGAATTGTTCAAATTTTAGCATGAAATGTAGAATTTTGCCTAAAATCTACATGGTTTGTTTATTTGATTATTTCAGATTACAAATTGCTGCAATGCACTATAATGAAAATGCAGCACGCTCACATGCAGCAACAGCAACTGGTGAGCTGAGATATGCTGTAGTGTACCCAAAGTACAAACATGGAGACTACACAGTGAGAGCCCTGAAGACCAATCCAACCTCATGTATGTCAGATATTGTATGATAAAACCAAAATGATGTCATGGAGAGCTATTGTAATACTGAAAACCCTTTTCCAGTATATGTGCACAAGCTTATGGATCTGCTGTTCGACTCTGTGGTGGTGGATCCTCTCCCATATCAGGAGTACTCGGACAAAATTCCGGTTCCAGAACCGCTCTGTGCCCAGTTCCAAAGACCAGATAAACGGGATGCTGTGAGCAGGCACAGGTCCAGGTTTTAAAGTGCACGTAAGGTGAGCTACACAACAAGAGATTGTAATTATTAGTTAGTACTCTACTCTGTGTGGTTTTTCCTTTTCTCCTCCTCAGCCAGGCTGCACACCACTGTACGACAGAGGAGTTACCTGTCGTCATTATGGATCTTTATGCTCATCCACTCGTGACTCATGCTGTCCACCTCCCAGATGTCTATTGATCTCTACAACCTTTCTGCTCTGTGGCTCCCATACAACTTGAAAATCTTGGCCGTATGTAACATAGCAAAACTCACCAGTCTTGCTTTTGTAAGTCATACTAGTCATACTAATATTACTTTTTTCCTCAGAGCCTCCTGATAATGTTACAGAAAAGCCTGTGCTCCCGGGATCCATCTCCACGTTTGTCATCACAGTGAAAGCTACCTCCAGTCTAAGGAACCAAAGAAACATCACTGATGGCCCAACCTATCCTCACATGGCTCCAGAATCTCTGCTTGTGGTTTAGAGTTTTGTCAAAAATCATAAAAGTTATGATCAGATTGTAATCTAACGTTGTCTTAGTAGTAGCTATAATAAATGTTATCTTTGCAGCGCAATTGTGTCATTTTAAATACAATTATATTGATATTTTGATGTGTATAAATACATATATCACATTTATTAAATTATCATTCATTTTTACCTAATTGAACCTGCTCTAGAATAGACTTCATTAATCACACAGGGTGTAAACTTGTTGCAAGTCCGAGCAATCGGTCAAGGCTTAGAAACAGTGGTCAGAGACAAGGGTCACACAAGGGTCAAGAGGACAATAGTTCAGGACTTGCTGGTGAGGACAGAACTAGGCAAAGGGTCAAAAGACAGGCTGTCTTCTCTGGATCCACCCATGGACACACCCCTGAGCCCGCCCCTAACTCCACCTCTGGCAGGAAAAGAAGGACTGGCATGGAGTGAGGAAAGTCCAACTGGACCCAGGAGCTCTCAGGAATGCTGGAGGAAGATCTACAATTTGCTACCAAGATGAAGATTTATGACCTGTGCTCTCATTCCAGGAGTGCAGAATGTAACTTTTGTGCCCTCATGTGAATACTGCATGTAGTGAAAAAGATACCAAATGTCTTATGTAGAGCTAAAAAAGTGTATCTGGTAAATGACCCCTTGACCTAAACTGTCAGGAGAGAATGACTTGTGACTCTTACATTGTTTAGAGCAGTCTCAGAAGTGATATAAAAGGATGCAGCTCAGATCAGATTGGGAGAGCTGGGGCAGACGACAAGAAGAGACAGAGCAGATTTGGAGGGGTCATCCCCCGTCCTGCTGGATGGGGGATGACAGGCAGTTTTTTGGAGAGAAGCAGAGCTAGAGGGTTTCGTTCTTGGGGAGATTCTGAGAAGACAAGAGCTAGTGTAAACTAACTCTTATTTAATCATTTTGAACTAATTCCTCCGTGGGGGATAGCAGTTGTTTTTCACTTTACCCATTTTTTGTATTTTGATTTTGTAATAAACCTTTTTTGAAAAAGAAACATAATCCTGATTCTTTCAGGTTTTCTCTAAAGCTTCACGTTTGGAGCCCTGGCCATAATAGCACAGAGGTAAGCATGTCGAAGATCGGTCTCTGAATTATCGGGACTTACTTTACAGTTTGTAATAGAATAATATAAAGAAACCTTAAGATAAGGGAAGTTTTAACTTCCCCCTCCTTGCGAGTAACGAGTTGTCTTAAGGGCGATAAAAGCAGAATATTCGAGGTTATTTTGGCTCTGATTGCAGGTTGAAAAAGTCTCTAATCAGCTGGAAGGTTGGATTAATAAATAAATTGATAAACTTATGGTAGCCTGATCAACTAGCATAAATCATTTTATAGTTACCAACCTCCCACATAAGCTGTTAGAGGCGCAATTAATTCCGGGTAGCCCAAACAATTGCTGAGAGGCTTGGCTTGCCTCCAGACTTCTCTCTAGTATCTTAACCAAAAGGTAACGAGTTTAAAAGAAGTGTAGCACTCTGGGGCTGGCTATTCGTGCAAGTCATTTCACCTTTAAAATAAAAGACAAGATTCTAATTAGGTAGTCCAAACCCGGATCTAGTACAATTATACTCGTCGATACACCCCCGAACCCTGATGGATGCACCGTCTCATAAGTTCTAACGGAACTGGGTTTTAAAGGAACCGGTAAATGGGACGGGCACGCGACATGGCGCCTGCAACGTGGGGCTAATCGGCGAAGGTTCAAATATTAGATACCGGACTATTCGACGTAGAACTATGTCTTTTAGGCTGATAAAAGCTTACGCACCATGGACCTGATACGCTTATAACCTTGGAGTGAAAACCGCACCAATTTCTCGAAAAGGAAAGAAATTTGGGAGAACGGACGATTAACTCAAAGAGGTATAAAGAAATCACGTCTTTCCGACGTAAGAAAAGCCAAGGATAAAAGCTAGGCAAAAAATAAAAAGGAATAAAGAGTAAGAATAAAGAATAAGACGTGAAAACGAATAAAAATAAAACAAATAATAAAAAAGAGAAACTTTCAACCAGCCATGGCAGATAGATCTTTAACGGTGAAACCGGAAAATGTTCTCCTTAATGTGAGATTTGTCACCGGAGAAATAGCGACATTTCAAGGTGAACCACAAAGCGTTTTAGCAGTATCCTGTAACCGGAGCTTTCAGAACGAGGCCGGAACGGCTCAAGCCGCCGCGGAGCGCTGTCCGAATGCTGAAACTCAAGTAAAGAATAATCATGTATTTCCGTTAGTGGGTGATTTGGTGATTCTAGCAGAACAACAAAATGATCCTGTTTTTAATCAGATAGCGTGGTGTTGTTGGGAAAATCCAGCGAAACTCCCCACGGGCGAGCAATATGAGATCCTTCTGGGATTGCTTGAGCAAATACCAACTGGACCGGAACCTTTAGTTCTCACTCCATTTGGAGTCGGGCAGTACCGATGTGATCAGGGAGCGATGTACTCTGCTATGGCGGAGTTCGTGGTTCAACGGGCTAATAGTAGAACAATTTACTTCTTATCTAGAAGCAAAAATGAGGCAATTCAAATGAGACAGGCGTTATGTAACCGACTGGGGATCACGGAGCTCCAAGCGGAAATGTACCGGAGACGAGCTGCAGTTGAAATGTCGGCCTCCTGGGATGAAGTCCAATCGGTTCCGACCGCGCCCCCTTTGTATCCAGCGCTCCGCGGGGAATTCCCTGTGAGCCCCGGTTCCGAGAGCGGATTTCCTCCACCCCCACTGAACCCGCCTGACGCGGTTCGGCCGGCGCAGTGGAACCCGTTTCTACATGTACAAACCCCTTCTCAGGTGCCCATGAGAGGAGCGGAGAGACCGCCCACTGAACAGCATGTTGCTGCATGGGACAAAGATGAGACTCAGAGACGGTCAGGGGCTGAAAGGACTCCAAACCCAATTCCTTTTCCCCCGTTAGAACCGCATAGTCCCGCGGCTCCTCCGAATCATGTTACGATAGGTCAAGAACCGGTGATAATTTTGTCAGGCGAGAAAATAGATGCGGAGATCCGAGAAGAAGATGTGTTGATCTTTCTGAAAGATCCACAAAGTTCTGCCAGTACTACGTCCTCTTTAAGTTCTCTGAGGAGACTTTTAGGGGCAGAAAGCAGAAGCTCTATGATCCCGCTGGTAGATCGTAATTACGGAACTGGAGAAATTACTACTCTCTTAGACAAGCAATTAGGGAATCTGGAAGGTCGTGTCAGCGCGATTTCCATAATTAACGTAGACCCTCATAATCCCGACATCTCTTTTCACCAAGCTTGGGAGCGGGTGGTGTCAGAAGCCTTGGATTTAGGAGCGCGACGGCTAGTGTTTAAGCTTAATAACAAACCCCAGGTGTAATCGGACAGCTTCAGTACATTTCCAGCAACGTCCGTGATTTTCGAAACATCATTGATCCCATAATGTCACTTAAAAAAGGTCTCAGAACCAAAGTGGGTCAAAAACTGGTGACGCACAACCGCAAACTGAGCTCACAGGAGCTTGAGACTTATCAAGCAGTGATGGTTAAAATAGGTGCTAATCTAGTGAATCTTTCAAATAGAGAGCATCATGAACCGTTAGCTGTAAGAGTGATTGTAGGACAGGATTTCACAGAGTGTTTATTTCAGAACTATAACAGCAAGAGTCTGATAACATGTAAAGGCTATAAACTCGCACCGAGACCCGTTACACGCCCAGCGAAAAGGTGCTGACCACCCTGATGAAACATAAAGATATGATGTTCGCTCTGGCCGGATCGCAAAAAATCATAATTCAATCTACTGATTATATGATTAAAGAACTTCGGAAAGATCTCCTCCCACAGGCGAGGGCCGTTTTACCCAGATGGGCAAAGTGGGAGATGTTATTGGCAAACCCGCAGATTCACGTGGAAGGAGAAACAAAACTTAAGCCTGACAGGAAAGAGGTTGTTAAAGCCATAAAACCAGAGGCAGTTTACTACACTGATGGATCTAAGAAAACAGCAGATGCAGACTTCTGTAAGTGGGGGTTTGTGAGACTGCTAAAGGACAGGAAATATCAACAAGCTGGACAGACTGTCGGATCTGCTCAAACTGCAGAATTGACGGCCGTTGTCATGGCGCTTGCTGACGCGTGTAAGCTGAAGCTCAGATCAGTAAGATTGGTCACAGACTCTAAATACGTTAAAGACGGGCTGGATGATCACTTAGCATTTTGGGAAGCTAAAGATTTCCAGAAAACTGATGGAGAGAGATTGGAACACGCTGACTTGTGGACTTTAGTATCGTGTTATAAGAAAAAATTACAGATTCAGGTGACACATGTAAATAGCCATACAAATGGAAAAAGCGAAGATGAGATCGGAAACGCAGAAGTGGATGAATTAGTACAAGCTCGCGCTTTGTTTCTACCCACAGCGTTTTTACAGAACAGGAGCGCTGCAGCTGATGAAGAGCTGGTGACATTTGCGCATAAAAATTACGGACACGTAGGAGTATTACGGTTGCGTGAGATTTTCAAAAAAGAAAATATTTCTGTACCAAAGCTGAAAGAACTAACAGCACGAGTAAAAGCGACGTGTGAGTCGTGTAAAGTAAAAGGAGGGGCTCAACCCGTGATTTATGACCATTTGCCCATCATGTGTGATGTGCCGGGGGTGCATTTCAGCACGGATGTTGGTGAATGTGCCTCTAGAGGAGTGAACGGACATAAGTTCTTTTTGGTAATCAAAGATAATGGACCAGGTGATCAGAGCAAGATAATACCGCTGAAACGTGTCACAGGAAATACGGTCAGCATGGCCTT